TGTGCGCACCAGCGACAACAGCGGCTCGAATCACCTCAGGTTGAGAAGTATCAATCGAAATAACCACATCAAGTTCAGCCAAGGCTTCCACCACTGGAACAACACGACGAATTTCTTCCTCGACCTCAACCACAGATGCACCTGGACGTGTGGACTCGCCCCCTACATCAATCACCGTTGCTCCATCTGCAATCATTTGCTTCGCATGTGCAATCGCCTGCACTTTACCATTATGTTGTCCACCATCACTAAACGAATCTGGCGTCACATTCAGAATACCCATCACCTGCGGTACCGACAAATCGAGTGATAGCTCACCACAATGTAGGATTTTCTTTGGTAAAGCCATCAATTGCATCTAATTTACTCCAGTTCAACTGGGATTATCTTAACGCGTGTAGCAGAGCTGTGTGCTTATTTTTCTTTAAAACATAAAAAAATATGCACAATAAAAAACCACCCGAAGGTGGTCCTTTATTTCAAGAGTTAAATCTTAAGTTGCTGATGGCAACGGTGGTGGTGTGCTTGGACCATCTGTTGGTGTTACATCAATCACAGGATTTTCTGCAACATACACTTTCGGTGGTTGTGGCTCACGGCCTTCCATAATGTCACGAATTTGCTCGCGATCAATCGTTTCCCATTCCATCAAGGCTTTCACCATCGCATGCGCGATATCTTTATTGTTTTCCAAGATATTGCGTGCTACATGGTATTGCTCATCGATGATACGACGAACTTCAGCATCTACTTGTTGCTGTGTTGCTTCAGAAATCGTACGACTACCAATGCTGCCCATGAATGATTGCTGAGAATCATCTTCATACACCATTACACCAAGTTTGTCAGACATACCGTACTTGGTCACCATCGCACGTGCCATTTTAGTTGCACGTTCAAAGTCGTTTGAAGCACCTGTCGACATTTGGTTGATAAAGATTTCTTCAGCAATACGACCACCAAACAAAATTGAAAGTTCATTCAACATTTTGTCTTTATAGTGGCTGGTTTGGTCATGTTCAGGCAACTGCCATGTTACGCCCAACGCCCAACCACGCGGCATAATGGTCACTTTATGTACAGGGTCTGTACCCGGTAGAATTTCAGCCACAATCGCATGACCAGCTTCATGGTACGCTGTTGCACGACGTTCTTCTTCACGAATCACCATCGACTTACGTTCAGGGCCCATGTACAACTTGTCTTTTGCATCTTCAAAATCATGCATATCGACAGTGTTCTTGTTACGACGTGCAGCAAATAATGCAGCTTCGTTCACAAGGTTCGCCAATTGTGCACCCGAGAAGCCCGGCGTACCACGTGCAAGCACCTGTACATCGACACCAGTCACTGAAGGCAATTTCTTCATGTGAACATTTAAGATTTGCTCACGACCTTTAATGTCTGGTAGACCGACCATAACTTGACGGTCAAAACGACCTGGACGAAGTAAAGCTTTATCTAGTACGTCTGCACGGTTTGTTGCAGCAATGACGATAATCCCTTCATTGCCTTCAAAGCCATCCATTTCAACCAACATTTGGTTCAAGGTTTGCTCACGCTCATCGTGACCACCACCTGTACCTGAACCACGATGACGACCCACAGCATCAATCTCATCAATAAAGATGATACATGGTGCATGACGTTTCGCTTGTTCAAACATGTCACGGACACGAGACGCACCCACACCCACGAACATTTCAACAAAGTCAGAACCAGAAATACTAAAGAATGGTACTTTCGCTTCGCCTGCAATTGCTTTTGCAAGTAAAGTTTTACCTGTACCCGGTGGACCCACCATTAACACGCCTTTAGGAATCGTTGCACCTAAACGTTTAAATTTTGAAGGGTCTTTTAAGAAATCAACAATTTCTACAACTTCTTGCTTTGCTTCATCACAGCCAGCGACATCGGTAAAAGTCACTTTAATTTGGTCTTCTGCCAACATTTTTGCTTTTGACTTACCAAAACTCATTGGACCGTTTTTACCACCTGCTCCGCCACCCATGTTGCGCATAAAGAACATGAATAACAAAATGATTAAAAGTACAGGGAAGCTTGCGATCAAAAGTTGCATCAATAAACCTTGACGTTGTGGTGCAGTACCTTCAACGACAACGTTATTTTTAATCAGATTAGGCATAAGCTCTGGGTCTTGAACCGCAGGACGAATACTTTCAAACTCTGAACCGTTTGATTTTTGGCCATGAATTCGTTCGCCATCAATTGTCACTTGCTTAATTTGACCAGCATTCACCGCAGCAACAAACTCTGAATAATTCATCGCTGTCGGCTTTTCATTGCTACTGACATTACTGAAAATAAGGATCAGTACGCCCAGTATCACTAGCCACAATATGGCATTCTTGAAGAGATCGCTCAAAGCTTTATTCCCATATCAATCTAATTTGATCATGCCCTATCGGGTGACCTTAAAGTTTCTGCTGAAGATCAGCTTCGCAAAATAATAAAAAGGTACAAAATGCACAATTTTTAACGACTTGGCAAGTAAACTTTATTTGAAAGCCTTCTTACGGCCTTGCCCAACTAAGAATACTTCCTTAGATCGGGCACGTGATGCAGCAGGTTTTACTGTCTTTAACACATCAAAGTTGTCGACTACTTGCTTACGGAACTCGTCAAAGCCTGTACCTTGGAATACCTTTACAACAAATTGACCATTTGGACCGAGCACTTTCGTTGCAAAATCGATAGCTAGCTCACATAGGTAAATTTGGCGAGGTTGATCAACAGCCTTATTACCTGATGTATTGGGGGCCATATCTGAAATTACAACGTCTACTTTACGTCCATCTAAAATATTTAACAATTTATCGAATACTTCTTGTTCGCGAAAGTCACCTTGTAAGAAGGTCACATCTGGCAGAGCATCCATTTCCAAAATATCTGATGCAACCACCAATCCTTTATCACCGACCAATCTCCCTGCAATTTGAGACCAACTTCCAGGTGCTGCACCCAAATCAACCACGGTCATGCCCGGACGAATAATGTTATATTTTTCTTGAATTTCAAGTAACTTATAAGCTGCACGCGCACGATAACCTTCCTTTTGCGCTTTTTTCACAAAATGGTCATCGAGATGCTCTCTCATCCACGCACGGCTACTTTTGGATAACTTTTGGTTGGTAATGCGTGTTGCCATATCTCTCTAAAACATTAAAATTTCTTAAACTTAATTGTACGTTAAATTCTCTAGGCTTGCAGTATACATCTGTATCCAAATCTTGGGTTTTAGATGTTTTTTTCTATTATCTAAATCGATTATTTCCACAGAATATAAAGCGTTTAATTGCGCAGTTTGTTATACTAAGCCGTTTTTAAAATTAGGTTATCTTTATGGCGACTTTATCCATTCAGGAACGCAAGCGTTTGCGTCAAATCGG